AGGGCAGGGAGGATGCAGGCTCCGGGGGGTCGGGGGAGGAGCTGGCAGGGGGGCCACCCGGCCCCCGACGGAGGGTTGCCCCCGCCCCACCCGCTCCATCCTGCCTCCCGTCACCGTGACTGCTGCAGAAAGCCATATCTAGATTTCAGCGCAACTAATCCCGTAGGTGTAAAAATATACGCATATATATAAATACTTACAGAAAAATTATATATATGACCTATTCCATGTACAAGGCCTTATATGCCCGACCCCCAGCTGAGCCCAAATTGAAGGGGGCGGGTTTCAGGGTTGGGGAAGGGGTCAGCAAGTCCGTTGAGAAGAGAGGGTTCCCTTCCCAGAAACCTGAAAAGCAGTTCCCTTCTGAACTTGGGTGGCTGCTGGAGGGCAGGTGCAGAAGGGTCGGGGCATTTGGGATTGGGGGAGGGCTGCAGCTTCACTGCTCCTGTCCAGTATATGGAGGTCCGATGCAATTCTGTTTCTCTAGAACAGCACCCATCTCCTGTCCTGTCCCGTCCCATCCGCCCTGCCCCTCCCATCCCATTTGTCCCGTCCCGTCCCTTCTCAGCTTGGCTTTAATTTTGTTTAAAGAAGTGGTGGCATAATACCCAACACAAAAGGAAAACAGATCAGGAGGGAGGAGGAAAAAGTGAACTCGGGCTGGTTCATGTTGCAGATTTCTTATAGGCTCCCTTTCTGGCAAGGAGAGGGCGGGAAGCTCCTCCTGACGTGACCTCCTTGCTCATGTGTAAAAATCGGCCGTGTTCCCCTGCCTGCTCTTGGAGCCCTTCATCTGTGCCTGTGCGGTGTGCTGAGCGTGTGCACATGTGTGTGTGTCTTTTGTGTGAACGTGTCTTGCCATTCTGGGCTGTGTCTTTGAAACTGTGTGTGTGAACAGTGCTGAACTCTTGCATGCACCGTGGCACGGGAAGCAGGGCCACTGCGCGGAAGCCGCGTGGGCTTGGGAGGCACGGTGGACGCCCTACCTGGGCCGTGCACCGCTGGGGGTCCGCGTGGCCCTAGTCCGGACCTTTCTGAGCAGAGAAGCATATTCAGCTGCTCTGCCCCCCACTTTCATGATCACTCTGATTTGGGGGTCACTGAATATTCTGCTCCACCTGCAATTCTGCAGCTTGAGGAAGGGAGCAAGCTTCTGCTCCCCCCCCCCCCACACCCCGGGATTTTGCAATGTGCTGGGTTCAGCCAGGCCTAGTTCAATTCACCCCAGCCTACACAAGCCTTGCTGCTTTCTCAGAGTTCCTAGGGATTCTGTTTTCTGCTCTTGAGGACTGGGATCTTGATTTCTGCCTGAAACTTTAAAGATTGGATTCTGTGCTGGGCGGATTCCAGTCTTTGGAGGTTGTGGTTGTGGGCTCACAGCTTGCCCTCCAGCCTTGTCTGGATGTGTGTGACACTGTGAGACGTTCATGGCGCCCAGGATATACCTGGAATAATTGGCTGGTTTTGTGTGGTGGTGGTGGGAGGATTCCAATTCCCATGTTTTGATGCTGGCCAAAAATAAAACATGCAATTCAGGCCAAGTCTGTTGAACCGTGTTGCTGTAATGTTAGCATGATTCTATGGGGTGGGGGGACCATGGGGGTTGTATCAGCTCCTGCACATCTTGGAACTGTGGCTGGTTTGAGGGGCAGGTTGGCTTGGCGAGCTGGCATGTCAGAGGGCACCTGCTCCCCCTCCCTTTTTGGATTTTAAGCCTTTCAACAAACACATGCCTTTTTTTCCTCCAGCCACCAAGAGGTCTGGAAACTTGATTGTTTGAAACAAAACTGAATACGCGAATGTTTCTGAAATTAACGGATGCTTTTGAGTTCCCTGTCTGTGTGGGTGTTTGCTCAGGCCGCAAGGTCCTTGCCCCAGCCGCCACCCTCCTTGCTGAGCCGAATAATGTCTAAAGCACCTCTAGGTACAATCTCGGCAGGCCCCTCACTTGTAACGGTGGGTCATTTCTCCCCAAAACTGACTGTGCAGTGGCATTAAACAGATGAATTCTGATATAGAAATGATGGGACTTGATCAGGATGGGAAGGTTTTGGGGGGTCTATTTTGGAGTGAAGAGAATGTGAGCTCCAAAGTTCCTAGGTGCATCATTCCATTTTTATTTATGTTGGGGGATGTCTGTGCACCTTAATTTGTTTTGCTTTTGTGTTTCTGGGTTCTCACAACATCCCATTTTCCTGATTGTTTCCAGAGCTGGGAACTTGATTTCCTTGCTGGTAAACACGAAAGCCCATGTGAAGAGAAGCGTTTTGTTCGCATGAGGTGAGGGATCAGGGGTGTATCTGCTTGTGTCCCCCTGGGTGTTTGCAATGTGAAACAGCAAGCAGAAGGAGGCTGGAACCAGGAGAGGCGGCGTTCAGAGCGCTTTCTGTTACTTGCTTGTTATAGAAAGTGTTTGGTGTGGCCGGGAGAAGTTTTGGACTGAAATAGCTGTTTTCAGATCTGTAGTTTTTCTTCTTGCTGCTTTTTCGTTCTGTTGAAATTTTCCAATAGAAAAATTCATTCCACCAGCCATTTGCCACATCAACAGGGAGGTGCTGGCGTTGCATGTACAGATGAAGCGATGGATCTTTGCATAACTCAGTCTTTCCCCAGCTGGCTGGGGGATAATGGGAGCTGTAGTCCAATACATCTGCAGAGTACTAGGGTGGGAGGGAACTTCAGAGATGGAATCTTTCACCAAAGTTTCCTGTGTTGCCAGGGGAAAGGACTTTGGGGTGAAGGCCCTGAGCTGGACGGCCTCCTAGGAAAACAGTAGGGCTGGTGTGGTGCCTTTTAAAGGAAACGAAGCAAAAAGGGAGAGCTCAAGAGAGGCCTCATGGTCATATAAATCTATTAAGTTTAGAAACATAGAAACAGAAGGAGTCAGAAGGGCCCTCCTGGGCCATCTAGTCTGACCCCCGGCTCCAGCCAGCTCTGCTCATGACATGCCCACCATGGGCATGTCCAGCCTAGCCTTGAACAATCTCTAAAGTTGGACTCTAAGAAGATCCATCATTCCTGAAAGGACGTGCTAAAGCCATTCCCGTGAACATGTGTGTGAACGACTTTGGAAGGAACTCGTGGGGGAGAATGGAGCCTTGGACTGAGGGTTCTGCTGTACCTGTTGGACAGCGCCCTGGGAGGAGGGGGCTGAAACCTAGCTGAGGAGAGCGGCCACGCAGGGCCAGGGCTGCATTTGGTTTTAGGAGAGGCTGGGGCTTATTCCAGGAGCTGGTAATATTTCCCCCAGGATATTTCAAAAGCGCACTCCATAACCCCCGGTTATGGGTCATGAGGCTGGGGTGAATGGGACTTGCAGTCCAAAGCATCTGATATGCCTCCCATTTCTGCTCTGGAGCTTTTCCAGGCCATGACTAGGAGTTTTCCAGAGTGTCTTTGCATACTGAAAGCGTGAATGTTCTTGCAATGGAGGGATTCTTTTTAAATGAAAAAGAGACTTAAAGCAATGTTCGTCAGATACACTGTTTCATAGGATCACTGGGGAAAAGAAGGCACAGTTGGTTTCTTTTCTCTGTCCCACCTGGGCCGGTTGCCTGTGCCACAGTCCGTCGAAGTTCCCTTCCGCACGTGGGACTCGGTGCTGTCCGAACCCGGCTGGGCACATGGGGGTTTTCCGGCCATCCTGGCGCCCCACAAGACTCAGCTCCTGGGTGGTTTGGAAGCCAACACGGCAGTCCATGTGCCACAAATCATGCAGTGCATGACCGGCACACCGTGAAGGTAATTAGGAAAATGCAGAGAAACCAGTATGGCTTTCTTTCCTGCCCGAGCAATTCTGCAAACCCAGAAAATTAGTGTGTGTGTTTCTGCAATTTAGATCCCAAGGCCCAGTGGGATGCTAGCCCCACCGAAACCAGGGGAAATGCAATCAGTCCATGGGTGCATCTTGCCTTTGGATCTGTCTTCCCAAATCTTTGCTCCCTCCCCTCTCCCTGTGGCCATCTTTCCTTCTGGTTTTCAAGGAAAATGACACCCTGAAAATAATTCTCTGGAATGACTTCCCTGAATCCCAAGGAGGTCTTGAGTAGTATTTATTTTTCTACCTGGAAGTTGAAGTTCCATGACCAGGCCATTTGTATTTAATGCTCTGATTCTGCTACACGTTGAGCCGAGATCTTTCACGGGGAGGAGAAGGGGCCCCAGGGCAATCAGTGCGTGATTTGCAGCAACCCCTCGCAAAAGTGATCCTTGCCCGGCCATGCCTCCTTTCTGTTGAATGTACAACCAATAACTGCGTATGGCTAAACCAACCCAAAGTTCAGACGGTGGAGCAGTGGGTTTTTCCTGCCGGAATGGCTGCTTTTTGCTCCTTGGGCACATGTCCACCTGCTCATCTGGACCCACATCCCTGTGTAATAAAACATGGCAGAACTGATCCAGGTATTCGGTGTATTTTTCTCCCTGCCTCCCCCTTCCCCACTGTTGGACGGGATGTGTGCTGGACAGAGAAGACACGCCCTTCTCCAGGGCCGAGCGTCGACTTCTGGCCCAACATTTGGTTGTGGGAGAAAAATCTCAAATCTTTCTACATGATTTGAGCACACATAACTTCTCTGGTTTTGCAGGTCAGGACTGACTGCTTTCACCTGGACTCCAGGTGTGTCAAACTTGGGGAGGGGGGCAAGAGAATTGTGTGGGGCATGAATGCCCCATCTTTTACCCATGGAGAATCCTATCTAATGGATATTGTCTAAATTTACATTCAAATATTCCATCCCCACCATAGGGGCTAGAAACTTGCTTCGCTTTTTAAAAAGCAACAGCAGATGTGGAGTTTTGTACCCAGGTACTCTTTTCTACAGGTGTTTTGTTTTGTTTTGTTTTGTTTAAATGGGTGGATATATTTCTAATGCCTTGTATCCATTTGACTTTTTCTTATTTACATTCAGTATTTTAGCAACAGCCGGCCTTAGTTGGATTCTTAAATTGAATTTAAATTAATTTCCTCATCCTATTGGGAAGGGAGAGAATTGAAAAGACAGGCAATTACCCAGTGGGTAAGGCTGGCTTTTCTCAATCAGAGCGGTGGATAATTAGCACTGAATCTTCCTTGTAAAAGATTTTCTGGATAATTAATCCCAACATTTTTTTTTTTTTTTTGTTTTTTGCTGTAACAGTCCCCTTGCTCGACTTTGCTTCCTCCTCCGCCTGGAGAATCTTTTGTCTCAGAGAACCGAATTAATGTTGAGGGTTGGAGGCATCCGCTTGGATTGACTTGTGCTTTGTCCTGCTCCCCAGTTTGGCCCCCATGGCATCGCAGTGGAAACGCTGCACTCCACAAAGTTGACCCCCTGTGCTGCCCGCCCAGCATCCTCCTTCTGGGGGAGGGTCTCTCAAAACGAGGCACTTGTGGTCCTTCAGAAATGTCAGCCTACAGCTCCAGCAATGAGGCAAAAGGAGTCACGAAGCACCATGAAAGTTTCAAGCTGTAGTGTATGGCTGTGAGAGCTGGACCACAAGAAAGGCTGAGCGCCGGAGAATCGAGGCCTTTGGATTGTGGTGCTGGAGGAGATGCCTGCGAGTCCCTTGGACCGCAAGGCGATCAAACCGGTCAGTCCTGGAGGAGATCAACCCTGACTGCTCTTTGGAAGGCCACATCCTGAAGATGAAGCTCAAATACTTTGGCCACCTGATGAGAAGGACTCCCTGGAGAAGAGCCTGATGCTGGGAAGGATTGAGGGCAAAAGGAGGGGACGGCAGAGGATGAGGTGGCTGGATGGGGCACTGGGGCAGTTGGTGTGAGCTTGGGTGGACTCCAGGGGATGGTGGGGGACAGGAGGGCCTGGAGGAAGGTTGTCCATGGGGTCATGATGGGTCGAGCACGACTTTGCAACGAACAACAGCAATGTATGGCTGTGAGAGCTGGACCATAAGGAAGGCTGAGTGCCGAAGGATTGAGGCCTTTGGACTGTGGTGCTGGAGGAGACTCTGTGAGTCCCTTGGACCGCAAGGCGATCAAACGGTCAGTCCTGGAGGAGATCAACCCTGACTGCTCTTTTGAAGACCAGATCCTGAAGATGAAGCTCAGATACATTGGCCCCCTAATGAGAAGGAAGGACTCCCTGCAGAAGAGCCCAGTGCTGGGAACAATTGACGGCAAGAGAAGAAGGGGAGGGCAGAGGATGAGGTGGCTGGAAGGGGTCCCTGGGATGGTGGGTGTGAGCTCAGGTAGACTCCAGGGGATGGTGGAAGTCAGGAGAGCCCCAAGGAATGTTGTCCATGGGGTCGCAATGGGTCAGACGCGGCTTCACGGTTAGCAGCAACAACAAATAGCATAGAAGGGAAAACCAAAGAAAATCACACTTCTCCTAAGAAGTGAACCAAAGCAAAACCAAGGTGATATGCAAAAGATTTTAGCAGCAGCAACCCTAAATATAAATGGCCTCCATATCGAGGCAATTGAAACAGAGGAGTATCATGGACAGGGACGAGCCACCTGCAAGCGTGGAAAAATATCTCACTGGAATAAATACGCAGCAGGGTTGTTCAACACAATCACAACTCCGCTCGGGTGAAGGAGGAGAAAGCAACAACCCAAGTGACAAGGAAGCCCAGGCAAGGACTGGGCTGTGTTTAAAACATTGACACGACCTTGGCAGATGCTGAAAGGGTTGGAGGACAGAGCGCTTCTGGGGTGTGAGTTGTGTGTGTGTGAATGTGCAAAGCTGTCCCATCAGAAACAAAAGCTGCCACCATCCAGACTCTGTCCATCCTCTGTCATCTCTGACTGGCAGCATCTCTTCCAAGGGAAGCAGGGGTGTCTCAGGACCAACCCATCATTCACTTCCTGGCTCTTTATCAGGGGAAACGCTGAGGACCAAAACTGGGGTGCTTGGAATGTGTAACCCCTAATTTTTCCCCACAAAAATCAAGATTCTAGCCCTGATTGTTAGTTCCAGACGGACTGATTTACACAGGAAGCTAGTCCTTCTGGCTCTAAGTGGAGGGCTGATTTAATTGGGAGGCTAGTAAATGAAGGGCTGATTGAAACAGGAAGCTAGTCCTCATGGTCTTGAAAGAGCTTTTTAAAATAGGAGTGGTTCTAAATGAAGAGCTGATTTAAGAACTCATACTCATGACTGTAAAGGAGGGAAAATGTGTTATACTGGAGACAGATAAGTTCTGACAAGTTGCAACTCTCCAGGACCCAAGGTGGCAAGAAAGGGATATGCCCAGCACCCTCTTCATGGTCCTTCCAACTGGAGAAGCCAAAAAAGCTTCAGTGAGCACAGTGAGCAAAAGAGGACAGCTCCTGCCCAAAGACCTACGATGTAAGTAAGTAAATAAATAAGATGTGCGAGGAAAAGGAGTGAGGAGGGAAGAGGAAAAACAAAGTCCCCTTCACAGCTCCCTCCATTTAAGGCATACCCTGCTGGCTTTCTTTTTGCTTTAGGCCTGGATCCTCCAAACTTAAGCTCCCTGGTGACTCAAGTTGCAAGCTTTCTTTTTTACCCATATATGATTATATTATTATTCCATTTGTATCCCATCTCTTTTCCTCTTTCGAGGAACCCACTGGGGCTTACAAACCATACCTTATTTCCATATTTATCCTCACAAAAACCTGTTGAGGTAGGTTAGGCGGACTTACTCGGACTGGCCCAAACTCCTTATATTCCTTTTTATATGTGAACTGAAATCCCACCTTTTTTCCAGCAAGGCAGCTTATACACTCTCCATCCCCATTCCATTTTTAGCTTCACAACCGCCTTGTGAGGTAGGTTTGGCAGGAACTGTCGCAGGCTGACACTCACCCCTACACCATAAGGACTGGTTCACCTTAATCAGCAGCATTTATAAATGTGTGTGTGTCCCCATTTTATTGCCTGGACTCATTGTATTGTGTGCGATCTGTGTGGGTTAGAAGCTTGCTTTTTCTCTCTTCTTAGGCATAGACTAACAACTCGGCTTTTGTACACCCTGCTATGGTACAGCCCTTGCACTTTTCATTCTGGAACGAAAACGAATGTTGCGCCTAAAAACAAGCATTCTCTGGATGGGCGATTTCCTCCCTGTGTGCCTTCCCTTTGTCACTCATTCTCTTATTCCTCAGGGCCAAATTCCCCCTGGCTTGTGGTACTCCCAGAGTAACTTTCGACAGAAGCAGCCATCTTGCCTTTCAGCGCGATTTGCCTCCTCTGCCAGGTCCCAACGCAGATTGTGCCTCCCATAAGCCACTATGAGCTTCAGAAGGGGAAATTTAGGGGTGTTTTAGGAACATAAGAACACAGCCATGCCGGATCAGGCCCAGGTCCATCTGTTTTCCAGCGATCCTCACACATGTTGGCAAGGCAGCGGCGTGCAGGATCCCTCCGGCAGGATGGGTGCCAAGCCTTCCCCTCCCATGTTCCTCAGCCACGGGTGCAGGCAGGCAGGCCAGTTCTGGTAGCCCCTGGCCAGCAAGGCTGGTAGCCACAGATAGCCGCCTCCCACATGAATCTGTGCAACCGCCTTTTAAATAAAAATAAACTGGCAACTGTCACTGCTTCTCCTGGCAGCAAATTCCATAGTTTGACTCTATGCTGAGTGGGATGAAGTCCTTCCTTACCCTTCCATGACCCCTTTGAGTTCGTGTGTTATGGCACAGGGAGAAAAATGTATTCCTTGCTACTTTCTTCACACCTGGCATTATTTTAAACACCTCCGTCACGGCTCCTCTTCCTTGCCCTTTCCCCCCCAAGCTGCACGGTCCCAGTTGTTGGAGCCGCACCTCACAGGGGGCTCTCCCAGCCCCCGATCTTTTTCGTTGCCCTTCGCTGTCCTTTTTCCAACCCAACAATGTCCTTTTTCAGGTAAGGCGACCGGAACAGTGCACTGGTCATGTTCCAAATGCCATCACACCAAAGTTTTGTATGAAGGGAGAAGGTCCTTGCAGTTCTGTTTTCTAGTTATGCCAACTTTAAAATACAAAAAAAGGCCTTTACGGTCAGGTCAGTACTGGTCAGGCCCGAGGGACGCCTCCCAGAAGCCTCTGCCAGAGCTCGGAAGAGCCGCAGCCCCCGACGCCCTGCCGTGGCACTGAACGCTCACACCAGGGGAGGGTTTGGGGGTCGGGTTGGAGGCACGGATGCTTTCGCTTTTACGCCGCCCGGGGGAGCCAAAGGCCGGGCTATTGGGGCAAGCGGTTCCCCTTGAACAAGAGGCTAAAGGTTGGGGAGCTGCTGGGGCCGGTGGGTGTCGACCCGCCGCCGCGGCCGTGTCGGAGGCAGGATGCTGGGGCAGCGAGCAGGTGGGGGCTGTGGCACTCTGTGGGTATGCGGGAAGGTTTGGGCGAGTCAGGGCGTGGATTCGTAACCTTCACTCCGCAGATGGTGCGTCCTCCATGGACGCAGGGCTGGGTTGGTGGGGATTGTAGCCAAACACTCGCTAGGGTCTCGGGCCGGGGGAAGGCGGAGAAAAGGCTTGGCCTGACCCCGCAAGTCCCAATTCTGCCGTGCCCCGGAGAAATGAGCCATCCCCGCAGCCCACGGACTGCTGCATCCGGCCACCGACCCTGTCCCGAGCACGGGGGATCCGGCGACCTGTGCGCCCGATTAGCGCGTCAAAGCCCCCTCCGCTCCTCTCCGGTAGCTCCTGAGCCCGAGCGGCCGTGGGTGCGGCTGGCACCGCCTCCCTTCCCTTCCCTTCCGTGGGCACAGGCCGCGAGCGCTCGGCCGCCCCCTCCCGCGCCTCGCAGGCGGCGGCCGCCCCACGGGGCGCGACAAGTCCTGCGTGGCAGCCCGGCCCCCGCTCCGCGCGCCACTGCGTGTTCGCGCAACACGAGGACTTGCTCACGGCTGCGGGCGGGCACACGCGGCGAGCCCCGCAGGCGCCAGGGGGGTCGCGGCCTCCCCAAGCTCTCTCCCCTCGAGGCTGCAGACCTCCTTCCAGGCTGCCTCTGGACGCCCGCCCACCGCGAGCCTCGGGTGCCAGTGAGGCTGACCCTGCCTCGGCCTGGCCGGTTTGCCTCCCGGGCAGGCAGCGGTTCTTTGAGAGGCCCCGCCGCGAAAGGCACAACTGCCGGGCCCTGCAAGAGGGTGGAGCGCTGGGGTACCCAGAGGCCATCTGGCCCAACCTGCGCCAACGCAGTTGCCACCAAGGTTTCCAACAGCCCACTGCTTGCACTGGATGGCTGGATGGTGTCACACCTGGCCCGGCGCGCACGAGGCTGGGGTCCCAGGTCTGGGAGGTGGCGGGCAGAAGAGGCAGCCCCCTCCGTGCGTACGGACGAGAGATGCTGGACAACCGAGGCAGAGGCGCCGGCAGGGGACTGGAGCTTTACCCCACACACTGGCCCATGAGGCGCGGGGGGTGTGAGGCAAGCCAAGGGGCATTCCCGGAGCCGCTCCGCTTCCCCAGCGGCCTCCTGCCTCGCATCCCCTTATTAAACAACCCAGGACACCCAACTCTCCACGTCCACAAGGGCAGCACTAGGGCAAGCGCTGGACAAGGAACCCGCGGCAGACGCTGTCCTGGGCGGCAGCATCGCTTTGGCTAGCCCGGATAAGCCCGGCCCAAAGTTCAGCCCCGTGAACAAGGCACTTGATCTGGAACAAGTTTCTAGTCCTCAACCTTTGAGGGCACCCACTAAAAATGACTAACTCTGATACCGTATTGCCCAGGTAAAAAAGGCCCTCCCCAAAGGAAAGGAGGCTGCCCCCCTGCACGAGGCATGTAAGTCTCGCTCCATGCCACAATCACCCCCAATTTCAAAAAGGTCCCATTTAAAATAATGCCATCCATAAACGGGGCCCTCTTCGAGATCCCCGCACCCGCTTTCCATTCTCAAGCTTTGAACACTAATGCGGGAATAAACGCTTGAGTTACCCGCTGAGCACCTGCTCTTGCCAGCCTCCCCCGCCCCGGCCGGACTGCAGCTCCCATGATCCTGCAGCCAGTGTGGCCGGGCGAGGGTCCATCTTGAGCAGACACCACGCCGGGAACTGGCACACAAAACCTGTGGAAAACTCCCTGCAGTTGCGTGGAGGGCAGGGGGGCGTGGGCCACTTTGGAGATGGGGGGCCAGCCCTGGGAATGCTCCACTGCAGCGCTGGGGCCACTGAGGATGCCCTGGGGGGGCCCTCCTCCCCAACACGGGTGCCTCTCGCTCGTCTGGCCTCTGCTCCCCGCCCCGCCCCCCTTATCTCCCTGCTGCAGCTGTGCAGAGGCCCCTCTGCCAGTCTTGGGGGCGGGGTCACCCTTTCCCCCACTTCACGCCTCCTGCCAAGCCCCCAGCCCTCCATGCTTGAACCCCCAAGCTGCGAGCCCCCCTGCCCAGCTGCCTCCCTCCTCTGCACCTCGGCGGACACCCACCCACCTCCCCCTACCCCACGCAGGTGGGCCGGAGCGTGGAGGGCCTCCATCGCCCCCTCCACCCCTCACCCCAAGCGGTTACGTCAGTGAGGGACCCCGGTGTGGGAAGGAGACACCAACAAAGAGTCGGCTTTATTGGAGGAAGGGTCCAGAACAGGCAAACGGTTTCAACAGCGACCAAAGCGGGAGCAGCCGACGGAGCGCAAGGGGCGGCCCTCCCTTTTGAGCTCCTGATGGCTGTCGGAGGAGGAGGAGGTGGATCCCGGTTTCCACCCTGGGCCCTGCCGCCGTGGCAGTAGCCCTCTTGGCTGTGGCCGAGCCAATGCGGGAGATGAAGGGGAGGAGGCCCGGAGGAGCTGGAAGGACACCCCTGCCGGCATCTGGCCCCCGGCCCTGGCGCGCAGCATGCCTGCAATGGGGGCCTGGGAGGCAGCTGTGACATGGCGCAAGCGGCGGCCGTTCCTGCTGCTCTCCAAGTCGGAGGCATGGAGCCCTGCGGGGAGCCGTGCGGGAGAAAAGCCCCCAAGGAGCAGCACGACGGGCCTCTGGCCGGGGAGCTGGCCTGCCGGGAAGGCAAGGACTGGGAAGCCAGGGCAGCACTGGGCAGCCCAGAGGGGAGCCCCGCCTCGTGGCGACGGGAACTTGGCGGGAGGCCGAGGCGTCTGTGCGCCGCACCCGCTTCTCAAGGACGCTGCCCTGGCTGTTCTGGAAAAGGCAGTGCCCGAGCTGGGGGTTTCTGGCCAAATGGGACAGGCCCCTTCCCCTCCAGACGAGACACGGGGTGCCGATCGCTGAAATGAGGCCCTTTCCCAGGGCGAGGGGCTGGATATTCCCACGGCTGGGTCGCTCCAGAGAGACTAGCTGGTTCGCTTCCCAAAGGTAGTTTAGTGTCGGGGAAAAGGGCCGGGGACTCGGGGCAGGGCCAGGGGATGACAGCTCCAGCCCTGCTTTCTACATTCCTCTACAGCAGATTGTGTTTCCTGTTCCCGCCCTTGTGCCCAAGGAGCAACCGTGAGGTCTACAGCAAAAAAACGGGGTGTGTGTGAGAACTTAAAGGGAAAAAGAAGCCATCCTCCTGCAGCTGTTTCCTTAAGAAAGAAAAGGAAGGGGTGGGGATACGCTAAAATCGCACGCTTCTCTTAAGAGTGAAATTAACTGATGTCAGCGAGGAAGCACTAGGGGACTCGGTGCAGCGGCACAAGACACGGGGAAGTCATGGAGGACAGCTGCTTAGCCGGCGTTCACCTGAGAGGGGAGAGGAGAAGGCAGGTTGGTGGCACGGGGTTTTGGAGAGGGACACGGATCCCTCCCCCCCCCCCCCCGGCCGGCAGCACAGCGAGGCACCCGTCTGGCCTGACGCGGAGTGGCAACCACAGCGGCCCTGAGCAAGCCCTCCGGATTCGGCACGGGCTGGCCGGGGACAGGAAGGCCTGATGGCATCTCCCGCCCTCCGGAAGGGACTGGGCCGGGCAGGTCCGGGGAGCTTTGCAGCGGGGACGAGTCCTGGGTAGCAGGCTCCGTGGCACCGGCCCTGGCTGCTGCTGCCGGCAGAGGGACCGCAACGGCTCATTGTGGCTGAGACCCGGTGTCTGGCTCAAGTCTCGTGTGGCCAGGCCTGCCCGCCCGCCCGCCCCAGCACCCAGCCTCTGCCTCCCCACTCCCAGACACCCCCAGGATCCGGGGATAGGCGCTATGCCCCGTCACAATCCCAGAGAAAAGCACGAGACGGAATGGTTTGCCTCGCCTTGCAGCGAAATGGTAACCAGCAACCTGGCTGGGACGGCCAGGAGAATGGAGAAAAAGGCCACCGAGGCCCGGCACAGGCTCCCCTCCCGGCTGGCCTCGGCACCGCTCCCCGGATGCGCTCAGACAGGCAGGCATCCTGGCTGCATCCCCAGTGCCCCTGCGAGGTGGGCCAGGCTGAGGAAATCCCCAGCCGGTTCTCTGCAGAAGTCGCTGCCCAGAGCAGGACCGGTGCACCGGGGGGCTGCTCTGATGCAAGCGAAGGACCCGGGGCCTTCTGCAACCCGCCCCGCTGCCCACCTTGGCGCCTGCTCAGTTCGCATTCCTCTGACGCACGTTCTTGTCCTTGTGATTTGTGGCGTTGCTTTTCCTGCAGGAGGGAGGGAGGGTGGGAGGGTGGTCAGGGCGTGAGGAACCCCGGCTGAGATGGGGGCTCCGACCCAGGCGGAAGGGCTGCTGGTGGTTCGGCAGGACCGGCCCCTCCCTCCCCAGGTCTGCCCAGGCCTGCCGACAAGGCCAGCCGCCCACCGTGCCCCCCGCTGGGCAGGAGGGTTGGGGGAACCCTGCAGCTGCTGCGGCTCCACCACCCCCACCCTCCTCCGCCCCCCCCCCCCACAGGGGATGAGTACTCACAGTGGTGCGGATCCTCCATCGTCATCTTCAGGCAGAGGAAGGCAACAAGAGACGGAAGAGAAGTGTTAGGAAACCGCTGTCAGACCCGCACAGGCCTCTCCCCCGGCCTTCTCTTGCGCCTCTTGCAAACGGCGCCCTGTGTGACAGCTCAAGGCTGCCAAAGGCCTGCCTGACGCCCCCATCCGCCTCCCCGCTGCTCTGAGAAAGGGGTGGGAACCAGGGAGGGGCTTCCATTGAATGGCATTTCAGTGCCTGCTTTGGCTTCCGTCATGCCCAAAACCGTAACAGTGAAGCGGCTGGTGCTGTTCACCTCTGGCCCTGTGCAAGCACATGAACCGTGAGGCCGGGAGCACCTTCCGCACGCGGGGCACCCCTCCGTGCCTTGTGCCGGTGACAGGGGAACTGGGCGCAAGGGGGCTGGTCAGGGGGCAGAGTGCCTGCACGGCCTCGGCCGTCCGGCCCTCCGCATTCGCTCAAGGGGAAATCCAGGTGCCCGTGGGGTGGGAGGGAACCTCTTCTGAAAACCGTCCAGGTCGAAGGCAATGGGGGGCTGAAACCCCGAGCCGGCCGGGGCCACAGGTCCCGGGCGGGTATGCAGCTGCAGTGACTCTTGTGGGCTCAGGGACTCGGCTGGGAGTTTTCTCCCTCTTGCAAACAAGCCTTGGGTCCTGGGTGGGCTTCCAAGCGGGTGATGTGGGGCGTTTCTATCGCGCTTATGAGAAGCGAAAAGAAGCTCGACATTCAGAAAAGGCCGGCTGGAATGTCCTTCCCCACCCAAGGGAAAAGCAGCTGTTTCTCCCCCGGCCGCCGGGTGGCAGCTCCCCGGGACACCGGGGAGGCACACCTGGGAGGCTGGCACAGGGGCGCTGCTGCCCGGCTCCCAGTCGAGGCCCCCCGCCGAACGACCGAGTGAGCAAGCAAGAGAGCAAGCGAACAGAGAAGCACAGAGGTACCTCAGGTGAGGCCCGGGGGATGCGGACAGAGAGGCCCGGGAGAGCCGGGCCCCGCGCCACTCTCCCTGAGACACACGCGTGCGTTACGCCACTGCACGAGCAGCCAGGCGCAAGCCCGAAGCCGGCCTGGGACAGACGGCACACAGCTGGCGAGACCGACACAGCGGGGGTGACGGGGGGCAGAGCCAGCCTTCCACTTACCGCACGGAGTTAAGAGGCAGCCGAAGGGAGGAAGGAAGGAAGAGATTGCAAAGATAACACCAGCAAGGGAAGCGCTCCTGACAGACTCGTGACCCCCCAGGGCCCCCGGCCCCCGGCCCCGATGCGCCTGCTGCCCACGCCATGGCCCAGAGCACGCGACGAAAAGCAGTAGCCCCCAAACAAGCTACTGCAGACGAGCGGGAGGCGGGAGGAAGTCGTGGGAAGGAGAGCAGTGGCAGGAGCTGGTGGCCCACCAGGGGCTCAGACTACAGCCCCCACCATCCCCCGTGACTGGCTGGGCTGGCTAGCGCGGCAGCTCCATCGCAGCCGGACAGCCGCTGGCACCGGAATAGGGCCAGGAAGAACGGCGCCCGACTCCCTTCGCGGACCCTCGCTGCAAAGAAGGTTCTCTCCTCTCCCTCTGAAGGCCACGCTTTCGGGAGGGCTTGTGCCATGAAGGGGGGGCGAGGGGGTGGGTGAGGCAGTGACGCTGGAGGAAGGCAGCGGGCCCCGCAGCGGGCCCCACAGCCACGCACACACGTCAGGGGGCCACGGCAGGCCTGCCGTTGTTTTCCAGGGAGCCAGGCTCGGCAAAGGCGCCAGCCGTGCCCCGGCCCACTCACCTGGGTGGCAGCCTTCCTCCCGTGAGGCTCTGGTCGCCCGCGGAGCAGACCGGACGGCACGGCAGTGCACAGCAGCCCGCCCGCCCCCTTGCCCCCGGCTTCAGTACACAGGAGGGAAGCTGCCCCGAAGGACGGAAGGACCCCGGGGAGGAAGGGCTGGTGCTCTTGGCCACTTCCCCGCAAGATGGGCAACCTCCAGGAGTTTGAGACAGCAGCTTCCATTATCCCCGGCCAGAGGCTGTGCTGGCTGGGGATGGTGGGTGCTGCAGCTCAAGCACCGGGAAGGCCGCGCCAAGCAACAGTTCCAGCGCGGGGCAGGCCAGATCCGCTGAAGCTCCACCGGGGCTGCTCGTGGGAAAGGCGCCTGCTGCGGCCAGGCCCGCTCTGGCCCCTGCGGCCAGACGCACGTGAGCAGAGGCACCCTTGCCTGGCACGCCGAGCCTGACTGGAGATGGCCGCCTCCGGCCTGACACACACGGGCGAGCGCCCCAGAAAGCCCAGGTCCCCACAGAGGCTCCTGCCCTCCCCGTGCGCCCCTCTTGTCCCCGATGATCCTACGGACTCTCCACAAGCCCGGCGGTCCCCTACTCCCCACCCCGCCACAGCAGGACAGGCTGCCTGTCAGAAAATGGTGCCCCTGCCCCCCGGCCGGGCCTCTTACCATCGGGGACCTCGTTGGGCTTTCTCCTCTTCTCGTAGATGAAGATGATGGTGACGAGGACCAGCACTTCGGCCACGATCCCCAGGAAGGGCCAGAGGGCCGCCAGGCGGCTGCGCACACGCAGGCCCACCATGGCGCTCCCCTCGCCCTGCTCATTGGTGCCGTTGCACACGTAGTCGCCCGCGTCCTTCTCGATGTCCAAGGACAGGATGCGCAGGTCCGTCCGGTTGCCCCCCGACTTGACGTAGAACCGGTCCTCGGAGCCGTTGACGATGGGCTGCGGAGTGGCGGGAAGGGAAGGGAAGGGGGACTCAGCTCTGCAGTGGGGATGGCGGTGCGACCGGCCCCCGCCCCCTGCGGAGCCTTCGCGGGGAAATCCGTGCGGCCCCTGCGTGCTGGGGTTCTGAGTGGGTCCTTCCCCAGCCCCCTCCCATGAGCCAACCCTCCCCCGTTGGGTCGAGCCATACCTCCCAGGATCCCCCATGGCTGGCTGGGGAATGCTGGGAGATGCAGTACCTCTCCGCTGCGCCATCAGGGGAGAGGAATGCTGTCGGGGGACGGACCGACCCCCCTGCTGTGCCCACAGCACCGCATCGGTTTTGGCAAACACGGGGACGCTGCCGACCCCTTAGATTATAGCGAGGACTTTGGAGGAGGGGGACGGGAAGGGGCACCACTCCTCCACGGGGCGCATGGCCAGAGTGCGGAAGAGCATCTGGCCGTGCTGTACCCATCTGTGCCCACCGGGTCAAACCGTGCCCCCGTGGAGGGCCTCTGGGCTCGGGGGAAGAGCAATTTCTTTGGGGAAACTGAGGGCTGGGACCCTTCCCACCCCACACGGAGCACAGCACCCGCCCCAAGCGGGGCCGGACATCTGGCGCGGGGCGGAGGGAAACCCCGGCTCTGGCGGAGGCGCTCACCTGGTACACGCCGTCCACCACCTTGAACCAGCTCCACTGGCTGACAGGCGGGTAGGAGTTGCACTTGCAGGTCAGCACCGCGGTGTCCCCCTCGTTCCCGTGCTCCGACTTCTTGTAGGCAAAGACATGCGGCTTCACTGCAGAGGCGAGAGAGCCTGCTAGTGGAGACCGGCACAGGCGGGCACGCGCACACGCACCGTGCTCACCCCCGGCGGGAAAGGGCCGCCACCGGGGACCCGGGAGGGTGCTTCCCGCAAATGGATGGCCCAACGGCGGGGGCAGCGCGATCCCTGAAGGGACCCGGCCCAGGGGCAGCCGGCTGCCAACCCAGAAGGGGGGCAGCGGGCACACCCGTCCCCACAGCATTACCTTTGACGTACACGGTCCCCCTCAGGACGGGCGTGGTGTTGAACACGCAGTGGTACTCGCCCGAGGTTTCGTGATCCACCTTCGGGATCCTGGAACGGGAACACGCGTGAAGAGGGGTGGTGTGTGGGCGCGCGGCCCGCCAGGAACAGCCGCGGGGAAAGGAAAGCAAGAAGCGGCCTGGGCGAATTCCTTCCGGAGTGCGTTGACAGGACAGCCGGAGGGGAACGTGGCAGGCTCCAGCAGCAGAATCCGCCCCCACCCGGAATCCGGCCCCCGCTCCTTGCAGGAGGGTCTCAGCCATTTCCAGCAACTCTGGCAGCACCGGGAAGCGGCACATGCTCCACTCGCCCCCTGGAGAGCCACGGGGGCAACATGCCCATTTTTCCCAGGGGTAAAAGGTGCAGAATTTACTACCCGGGGAGGGGCAGGGCAGGGCCTGCTTCCGCTCGCCTCTTGGGAGCCGACTGCCTTTCAACACGTGCCTGCAAAGCCTGGGCAGAGAAACGGGGGCGGGCGAGGGAGGCTGGGCGGCGAAGGAGCTAATCCCGCTCGGCTCCCGGCCGCGATGGGGCGCGTCAGCTCAGCCGCGGGGAAAGGACGTGCTGGCTCCCCAGCCAGCTGGGTCTGCGCCAGTGGGGGGGGGGGCAGCCCGGGACAGCGTCGCACGGAGGCGTGCTTGAGAAGGGAGCTGTGAAGGGCTGTGGAGAGCCCCCCCCCCCCCCAAGCACAGGAGGAAAGGGGATGAGGGGGCTGGGCAGGCAGAGGGCCCCTGTGGGACACGGCCCTGGCCCCGACCCCTTGCGGACAACACGAAGCGTGGCTCCGCGCTGCGGCCTGGCTTCCCGGAGGGCACCAGTGCTAGCCCCCCTCCCTGCAGGATCTCTCCTTGCTCGGGTGGGCCTGACGGATGGTGTCCGAGTCTTCCGCTTGGGACTCGTGCGCGCATGGCACCCCTCCTCACCCCCCCGCGTGGGCAGGGAGTGTCCCATAGCGGCACTGAGCTCGAGGGCCCCCGGCCGGGGCTGCGGCTCCGGCGGCGAAGACGCTCTGCTCGCCCAAGCACATCCATGCGCCTGCTCCCCCGGCCGAGCTCCCGAATTCCGGTCCGGGTGCCCCGGAGAGGCCAAGTGCAGCCGAGGGCCGGCAGGCGCACCCTTCCTGGGATGGCTCTCCCCACAGGCACGTGCGCTCACTTGCTGGCAGCTGCCGGCCACCCCCCAGGGACCTCAACACGTGTGAAGCGCCAGAGGCAGAGCCCCCAAATACGCCCCCACTCACAGGTACGAGGTGAACTCTGAAGACGACTTGTTCGATTCCAGCTTCGTCTCGCCCTTCATCCAGTAACTGTCCCTGATGACCGAAGGCGGCTCGCTGACGTTGCAGGAAAGGACCACGTTGGAGCCCGAGGTCACGTCTCTGGTGGAGGAGATGGCGGGGCCTGGTTTTGAGGAGAGCGTGCAGTGAGGGCCCTGCAGCCACGCGGAAGCCCCGGAGGCAGGACCACGAGGCCCTGAAACGCAGGGTGGGCGGGCGGGCGGCCACCCACCCATGAAGCGGTGGGCAAAGGCGCCAAGGGGCGCGAGGGACAGCCTCGTCCCGTCCGTCTGCGCACCTCGCTGTGGGTGCCGGTTTGGGGCAGGGAAGGCTCTCGGCTCGACCCGTCTCCTGCCTCCCACAACCCCTTGGACCCTCCAGAAGACACGGTGGCTTCCCCGCCATGCCCACTCCGGCGCAGAGGACCTTTCTCAGGGGCCTGGACCTTGGGCGCTTGGCTTCGTGCGGGCAGCAGGACTCGAGAGTCCCGAGGTGCCGCCGAGAGAGAAATCAGTGGGGCAACCTTCCCCGCCGGGACCTCCCAGAGCGCCGGGTGGCCACACGGGTCAGGCCACCCGCAGGCCGCCAGTGGCCCGTCCCCTCAGACCACACGTACGCCCCCCTGCGAGCCCCTTCTGTCTCAGAGAGGACAGAGCTGGAAACGCCCCCCACTGCCTGCAGGGCTGCCGCGAGAGGGGGGCGAAGGGTGCTGGCCCTCCTCCCTCGCCAGCAGGGTGGCTGCTGGCCTGCAGCTGGCCAGGGCCCTGGCGGTATGCCGGGTGGCCTGCACTTCTGGCAGCGCCCTGTGCCCGCCCGAGCTGTGCCAGCTCGCCCGCTCCAAGCGCCCACGAGCGCCACAGCGCCAAGCTCCTAGGTGGCCATTCCCAGGGGCCTGGGCCGGGCCCACGTGGAGCCTTCCCTCTCCCCTCCAAGACGAGGGACTTCGAGATGAGCTTCTGATCTACAGTAATTCTAGTGTTTTCATTTTTGAGAGCAAATAATAGGCCGGTGGTCTCAACGTTTCCTCCACGTCACCGTTTCTCACTGGAAGCCCCCTGGCGCCTGCTAGCAAAGCCCAGCCGTTTGCTGGGGATGTTGGAGCAATTGTCCTAGACAATTTCCCAACCGGGTGCCCTCTGGATAGGCTGGGCTGCAGGCAGGTGCCAGGCGGGGCTTCCAGCTCCGAGGTGGGGAAGGGGCTGCACCACCGCCCAGGCGGGGCACCCCACTTCCCTGATCTGCCACCCCCAACCTCCTTCTGATGGACGCCCCTTGCCAAGCAGCTGGGTGGTTCTCGATGGAACGGGAAAGGCACCCACAAGGGATGTTGCCAGAGGCACGCTGCTCTGCGAAAAATCCCGGCAGAGGCGCGGCCGCCTCGATGTGGCTGCGCGGCACTTTCGTGGCCGTGAGCCGGAAGCCCCACCGGCGGCTGGGCAGCCCGGCGGGGGGCGGACAGAGGGGCGACGCGCTCCCCAGCCCACCCCCGGCATGGGCGACCGGCAGCCCCGAGCTGGAGCCACTTCCAAAGCGGCTGCCGCTGCCACAGGCAGGAAGCCAGGCCCGGCGGCCCACCCGCCCGCCCGCCCCCGACTCGTCCCCCTGAGCACACAGGAGAAAGCACACGAAAAGCAGGACTGTTCAGGCGTGGAAAGGAAAAGAAAAGAAAGGAAGGAAGGAGGGGAAGCGCAGGGGGGGCTGGTTCACCAGTGGTGGCCGGAAGCAAAGCCAAGGCATCAGTTCCAAGGAGAGCCCGGGAGGACGGGGCAGGCGACGCGGGGCCCGAGCGGCCCTGGCCTGCCCGGCGGTGCGCCCTGGACGGGCCGGCAGCGAACGGGACTCACGGAAGGGTGGGGCGTCTCCGGACTCTACACACTGAGGGTGGGGAGGTGCAGGTGGGCTCCCAGGCAGGCACGGGACACCGGTGAAAGGGGGGGCGGCGTGGCAGAGCTCGTGTCCCAGCGGGCGCCAGCGCCTGGGGCTGCCACTCACGCTCAAAGACGATCACGTTCGCCTGGGAACGGACCCACTTGACCTTGGGGCTCTTGGACAAGTGGTTGCGGTCCGGGTCGTTGCTGGCCCGGCACTCGTAGGTGCCCGAGTCGTTGAGCGTGAGGTTGGCGACGGAGATGGCGCTGGTGGAGTGGTGCTTGTAGGTGGCGTTGATCCTGACCCGGTCCTGCCAGGCGCCGTCCCACAGCTGGACGGCGGTTTCGTTGGGCTCGGCCCCCTCGAACCACCACTGGATTTCGGGGAGGGGGCTGCCGACAGCCTCGCAGTGCAGCTCCACACTGTCCTCCGTCAGTTTCTTTTGAGACAGCGGCGACTTGATAAAGCCAGCTACAAGTTGAAGAGGCGTTAGTGCAAAGCGTTAGTGCCGGGAGCGTGTGCCGGGGGCAGGCAGCGAGGAGGCGGGCACCCGCGCCCGGGAGGGGGCTCCCGCGCAAGGCCCGGGAAGCGCTGACGCGAACACAGCCCGGTGACCCCCTCGCCCCCCCCAGAGAAGCAGGAGGGGGCCGCTGCTCCCAGGAAGAGCCCGCCCCCCCAGCACAGCCTCCCCCAACCCGCCGCCCGCCAGATGCTCTCAGGATCCCCCTGTGGGGCGATTACTGACCCCGCGGCAGCCCAGTCTGCGCCGGTCCCACGTCCTTCCCCCGAGCATGTGGACGTCCAGACCTGGGGGGGCGGGGGGGCCACAGGCATGCAGGGCACGCTCAGCGCAAGACGGACCACCCGACACGCAGCTCCAAATGCCTCCCTTCCCCGGGGGGCTGCAAGGCCCTGGGCGGCAGCCAGGAGCGGCTGCACTCTGCATGCGGCCGAGGCAAGTCTGTCTGGCCGAGAGGAGCAGCAGTTCCCACCCCCGCCCCATTCCAGCTGAACACCCCGGGCGTGCCCAGAAGCCTCCGCTTCCAAGCGAAGGAAGCGCGCAGGGCGCACGGGTTTCCGCGTGTAGCCTCCTGCCGAACTGCGAGCCCTTCTTGGGGCGCGGGCTCCCACCAGTGCCTCAGTTTACCCACGGGCACCTCTCTTCCCCCTGCGCTGTGGGTGGGTGCGCAAGGCACGATTCCATGCAGCCGGCCAGTCAGAGGCACATTAACGAAGAGGGCACCGGGCCAGGGCGGCGGGGCCACGGTCCGGACGCCTGGGCCCACGGCAAGCCCGGCCCTTGCCAGCGCGCGCCAAGCGGCAGAGCGACAAAGCCCGGGCTTCTCTGGCAACTGCAGGGAGCACGGAGCGTGTCCTCGCATGCCCTGCGCAGGGCAAACAAGCAGCCCTTTGCCTGCTCGGTGGTCAGCTGACCCCAGCCGGATAACGGCCGGCACATGGCTTGGCCTTGGGACGGGGAGGCATTGTGCGGGGTTCCTCTGGGCTACGTGAGCCTCCGGCGCCCTTGTTCTCTCCGCGGCGCGGCGGGACGTGCTCGCCCAGTGGGATCTTGGGCAAGGCCGGCGCAGGCAGGAGCCTGCCAGAAAATGCTTCATTGAGGCCGGGCACAAAGTCCACTTTGCTGAGGCCTGCCCAGAGCAATTAGCGTGGGCACCCCGAACAGCACGGCTGGCTCTCTCCCAGGAGAACAGAGGGAGGAGCCGGCTCCGACGGCCCAGGGACAACGTGCGGGTCCCAGGCACGGTCCTGCTCGCTCGCACGGCGGCTCCAAAGAAGGACGGCTGCCTCCTGAAGGACTAGGCCAGCGTTCTCGTGCAGACCCTTCTGTGAGACAGGGAAGGGGCCCTGTGGGATACTGGGGGGGGTGGCCAGCTGAACGTAAGTTGGGGAGGGCGTCGTGACGCGTGTATGTACTGTTACTTACGGGTGCCCGGGGGCTCACAGGCTGCCGTCACCACCTTCTTAGTTAAAGCCAGGACAAGCCCGGTCTGCTTGGCTGCAGGGAGCTTCCAGCCAGTGTCACGGGCTTCTCTGGCAACCCATTAACACGAACCCGTTCAGAACACCAGAGTTTCCAAAGCGGGGAGCTCATCCATCTGGGCCGGCACTGGGCCTGCTGAAAAGCCCCCAGGTGCCCTCGGAAAGCGCGAGAGACGGAGGCTGTCCGGGTGGGCTTGGGCAAGCGGTGGCATGCGAGGTCTCACGTCAGCCCCACAGCGCCCTGGTTCTCCTCTTGAGAACAGTCTTCCCAAAAACACACGCTCGCTTCTAGCGGAACTGAGTCATGGCTCTCCTCCCCGTCAGGAATTCCCCCGCCCCGCCATGGACTTTAAATCATTTCTGGCTGCACAAGCAGCGACTGCCGCAACGGATCCTGAAGGCACCGGGCGGGCGGTGCAACGGCCATGAAGAGCCCCCCGAGAGGCTCCGTGAGCGCCCCGCCGCCTGCACACCAAACGCGGCAGCGATGAGCAGCAGGCTTGCGGCAGCTACACACCGAGAGGTGCTGCTACTCCTGGGGAGGTGGGCAAGGCCCCCACAGCCCTGCTCTCTTGGCCCATGTGCCCCCGGCCCTCCCGAGGCGGCGTCGCCTGCTCCGAGGCCCCGGGAAAGGGAGAGGGTGAGGCTGTTCTGGCTGCGAGAACCAGAACTCAGGCTCACCCCAACAAGCACTTGGGCACCTCCCTGGGAGGGCGAAATAGGGCCGAGCACGGCACGGATGTTCCCGGGCAGCGAGCCACCCTCCCCAGGACTCCGCGTGCCTCGCCCGCGGCCACACGGTCTCCTGCACGGGTGCCTGGGGAAGCAGGCCGGCCAACCGGCGCGATCCGGCCGGTGGGGCCATTCCGGCTCTCCCTGCACGCAAAGGGAAGTGGCACAACCAGTTCCCCCGCTCAGCAGCACGTGCGCGCATGCCTGGGCCCCTGGCGCTGGGCCAGTCCCCACGCCAGGAGGGCGGCAGCAGACCACCTACCGGGCTTGGGAGGAGGAAACCCGCAGCCTCCGAGGACACCCTGCCTCCCACCTGAAGGTGGCCGTTCCCGAGCCACGAGGGGGTGCTTGATCGCACCATAGCTCTATCAAGAGCTGCGGCCGTCACCAGGCGACTTTGCTCGCGAACAGCCGGGCAGTCACAGGCAGGGCGTTCTGTGCCCCCATCACCTGCAGCTCAGGGCAGCACCCCGTCACCTCGATGAAGGGGACCCCAGCCTTTGCTTTCACGGGATCCGTCGA